AGGTGGAGGTGTTCAGGTGGTGTTCAGGTGGAGGTGTGAAGGTGGAGGTGTTCAGGTGGTGTTCAGGTGAAGGTGTGAAGGTGGAGGTGTTCAGGTGGTGTTCAGGTGGAGGTGTTCAGGTGGTGTTCAGGTGGTGTTCAGGTGGAGGTGTTCAGGTGGAATGCAGGTGGAGGTGTTCAGGTGGTGTTCAGTTGGTGTGCAGGTGGAGGTGTTCAGGTGGTGTTCAGGTGGAGGTGTGAAGGTGGAGGTGTTCAGGTGGTGTTCAGGTGGAGGTGTTCAGGTGGTGTGCAGGTGGAGGTGTTCAGGTGGAGGTGTGAAGGTGGAGGTGTTCAGGTGGTGTTCAGGTGGAGGTGTTCAGGTGGTGTGCAGGTGGAGGTGTTCAGGTGGAGGTGTTCAGGTGGAGGTGTTCAGGTGGTGTTCAGGTGGTGTGCAGGTGGAGGTGTTCAGGTGGTGTTCAGGTGGAGGTGTTCAGGTGGTATTCAGGTGGAGGTGTTCAGGTGGAGGTGTTCAGGTGGAGGTGTTCAGGTGGGGGTGTGTCTTTATTGATCTGGATGTACAGATTATACCTGGATTCATGCACAGTTTAGGGGTATTTTTGATCCATATTTAGTAAAAAATCCAGTCCAGTTTTGTACGAGGCCCTGCTGCTAACCCTAACCTCAGCAGCTCCATCCTGTGAGCCCATCCACAGGTGTTCAGGTGGGGTGCAGGTGGAGGTGCCCCCTGATGTCAGATACAGCATGGCTAGTACATGAACACAGGTCATAATAAGAATTTTTGTCTCAAATTTATTGAAAGTTTTTAGCAATTCTAGAAAGAATCAGAAAATGAGCAACAGTTAAAAAATCTAAATATTTTGATCCAGTGTCTTGAAGAAGACTGAAGACCTGAACGTTTCAGTTTACACTGAAATCTTCTGATGTTTCAGGATCAGTTTGAGAATCTGGAGAAACACACCAGCTGGGGAATCGACTTTCTGGAGAGATACACAAAGTTTGCTAAAGAACGAGCCGACATTGAGCTGAGCTACGCCAAACAGATCAGGTAAGCACATGCTGCAAGCAGAGATCTACTGTATAAAGTACTTGGAAAAAATAACTAAGAAAAAGTACAAATACCTTAACAGAAAATGACTTTGGTCAAAATAAATGTCACTGTTGAAAACTACTTAAGTAAAAGTCATAAAACTGTTCACAAACATTGGGAAAGTAGAAGTAAAAGAAAAAGTACTTTTCCACGCTCTCTAACAAATAAACGGTTAAATTTACTGAACCAAACTGGCTCCATAAAACCAAGTTGATTAAATTGGTCAATTTCTTTAAAATAACATATATATGGCCTCAAATTTAAACTGATTTAGYTGAGTAAAGTCAACACTTATTTTTTTAGAGCACATAAGTCCTTTCATGATGACTTCTGACAGATTTTAGAAGAAGGTGTTGGAACATGTGAAACAAAAATACACTACATGCAGTTCTCCTTCACTGCACTGCGCTGTTCACCAACATTTGTTTCCATCCCAATGTCGACAGCACAGCTTCTCAAACTGCGGTCCTTGGACCCCCAGGAGTCCGCGAGAGGTATCTTGGGGTCCTCAAAATTTTTTAAATAAAATATTAATTTGGTTTTTATTTTTAAAAATGCATGGAGAACAATGAAATAATAAAGCAAACACAATAAACTTAATTAAAATATATATTCCTTTGACATTTAATGGGTTGAAATGACAAATTAACTTTTGAAACAGCATGGGTTTATTTGAGGGGGTCCCTGGAATTTTTTTCACTCTTGTAAGGGGTCCCCAGACCCAAATGGCTTGAGAACCCCTGGTCTACAGCATCTGCTCAGCTCCGCTGTGAAGCACAGAGGAGCTCCCAGAAGCATATGCAGGAAATATGAGATGGCAGCATAAATTCACTAAGAAATGTGTCAAAGTCAGAGCAAAAGAATTCATTCTGTGGAAGATGGACACCAAACAGTTGAAACTGCATCTTTGTTTTTTAATAAAATCCACATGTATTATGTGTATGCTACATGCTACATGCTTAGACAGCATATAACTAGGATTTCAACAAAATTAGTCTGCCTTTGGTAAATTATTTTGAAAATACGGGTATTGTGCTTGTTTCTTTTTCCTGTTGGTGCAGTGTGATCTTTGTAGCTTTACTCCGGAACAGCTCCAGTGTCTTACCCCTAATTTACACAACATGTGGTCCAGCTCTGCTCCGCTCCGCTCCGGTC